TCTTTCTAATTGATGGGAAACATTTCCGCAGTGATCTCTTCAACTTAATCTTTACCTTGAATGTCTTCACATGTACATCAACAACAGTAACACTCAAGTATGGTACATCACCTGATGTCTTTTGACTAGCTTAATTGCACTTCTGTGCCTCACAGCAGCTCACCTGTTTACAATCCTGCTACAGCCCTAGCAAAGCATCCAAATAAAAAATACATTATTTGGCATAATAAACATGGGGTTGGATTTATTAGTCTGCCAGCCCTGCCAAGAACTCAGCAACTCCAGGAACCAGTTTGCTTACATCCATGCGTAAATATTGTGTTGAGACTAACTTCAAGCAGCCGGTTTTTGAAGCTGCGACCAGTCTGTTTTGAGGACCAACGCAAGGTTTGGAGGCAGTCATGCTGAAAGCACAAATTCCTATCAGTCTGTCTCCAAAAATCAAAAAGACGCTGTCGGTAAAAAGCAATACCCCATCTCTTTTAGTGCCTTGTTTCCCTCAGTGCCCACGTTTCCTCCACAGACACCCCCCATGGCACCTGTTGTAACCTGCGGCACGGACCAGGTTAGCGTTGGGGTGATGCTGGCTTAGGTCATGCCACCAAACCCGTTCCCCACGTTGGCCTTTTGGAGGCTTCAGCTCCTCTCCCGTCTGTGAAGACGGGCAGATTGCTCGAGGGAGGTTTCCTTGTGCTCTGAATACTTCCTTTGGCAGCTCTGGTGGAAGTGCCAAAGGGAGGCCCAGCACCCACAGAAACATCTTCTATGCGTCTCAAAAAAAGAGCTTTTCCAAGCCGTTCAACAGAGAAAGAAAGGAAGGAAGCGAGATGGCTCTTATGTTTAACAGCGTGGTATCGCCTCAACTGCTTGTACTGCCAGGTAACGATACACTGCTCCATCCTTGCATGTGCTGCCAGCACAAACCTACAAAGCAATGGGTGAGGAGCCAAATGGCTGCAGAAAAACCCATCTGATGTGCAACCGAGAATTTATAAAACCCTTGAATCACTGAAACCGCTTAAGTTGCCAGTTTGTGGGAATACACCAGGAAGGTGCATAAACAGCGTCCATGCCTTACCAACAAATGCTATCTAAGCCTCAGATTCTCGTCTGGTAGATTTTTACAGGCAGATAAACTAAAGAAGAGAGAAATAGCCTCAGAATTTCAAAAGTGAGTGCATAGATGTCAGATGGGTAAAAATAAAACATAAACAAGCTTCTTCTTAATCAGAAATTTCAGATACCTAAACAATGTAAGCAACCAAAACTAAATATTTTTTTATTTTATTTTGTCAAAGAAACCAATGCTTTTGTTCTGACTAGATTTCAGTTTTAAGAATACTGGCAATAACTTCCAGTGTGTTGGGAATTTTTTCCTTAGGTTAAATTATTGAATGTGAGAAGGACACGTAACACTCACTGAATCTTCATACTAATTTTACTATTGCACATGAATCTCATTAAATCTCAATCTCAGAATTGTTTATAAATGAAATGGCTTACAAAACTTAATGAGGCAAACTGGGGGCACCCGATGCTATAGTCATTCCAAAAATTGATTTCTTCAAGGGAAGCTCTGTCTGCATAGGGACAGGTGGGATCTGCTCTGGATATTTTAATTTCCTGCCTTGTCAATTCCAGCAATAAATTTTGATGAGATACTGATGATGATAATGACTAATAATTCTGGGCTATTTGCTTTAAGATTATAATCTTTATTTCTTTGTTTTTATTACAAAGTTTATAAATACCAGCATTTAACTTCAATTATGTTAACTGGTATCTTTTCTAGATGAAAGATTTGAGGCTGTCCTCTTACAAATGCCATGAAAACAGCTTTTTTTTGATAATTTGAAAACATTTGTCAGACTTATTCTATGGCCTTTCTTCACATTGTTTTAATTTGATTTGCACACTGAAGCAGAAACGACAAGAAACCCTGTTTGCCACGTACAAGCTGTGTTACTGAAAGAACTGAGAAACCAGGCATAATCTATTTTAAATCCGTAACTGTGCCGAAGCGGACTAGGCTTGGTGGGAGCCTCTATGCTGAGAAGATAAACGGCTGCAGCATCATCTTAGGGAACCATGTAACAGTTTATGTCCAATTAGGTGCACCTTTTTGTGGTAGCTTATTGTCAAGCTGCATGGAGATTAAATAAATTGAACCACAGTCTCAACAGCAGTTGTAAAAGTGAAAAATTCGATGGCAAACACAGTGTCTGCTCTGTATTAGCCTGATGCCTTGCTTGGAAAGCTCAAGCCATATAACGCTGTTCTTTGAGAGAAAGGATGAAAGCGTTAAGCTTACGTGAGAGAAAACAGTTTTCATCTCTGAGGTCCCCACAGAACCACTACAGCTGTGGGAGCGAACGGATTCATTTCTTCTCCATTAATAAGCCAATAAGGTAAACTCTGAACAGAGGATAAAAAAAAAGCATGAATTTTCAGAATCAAACATTTTTTCTTATATTGAAATACCCGTTGTTTCCCTCTAGTTAGAATTAGGGGTTTTCAGGTTTGGTTTTTTGGGTTTTTTTTTTTTGCTAGTCAAAGTTACTGCTGCCTGCATCTTTGTTAACATATTTCATATAAATTAAAAAGAAGAAATGTGGTAAATAAAGTAAATCTTTATTCTTGTGACAGAAACAAAGCAAGTATATTTGATGAATCGGTTCTTACAGATGAGCTGAATCTTCATCCAAAAAAATTTTGTTCCCCTCTAGTTAGAACTAGTTTTTTTATTTTTCTGCTCTTCGAAGTTACTAGAGCCAAATGTCTTCCTGAGCTTTTATGATGAGTTCAGGCTGGGAATAACGCAAATGCTCCCCACCAGCTGCAGGGTCTCAAGGAAAAATGAAGTTCTTCCAAAATACAAGTCCTACTCTAAGAAATAACATTCTGTTGAGCAGATCAGTAGCCACACTAACTGAGTAGGAAACAAAAAATTAACTGAACAGAGCCCTTAAACTTTGTGAATGCAAATACTTAAGAAATTGATAGGCAATAAGAGTAAAAAGTTAATCCTACGGAGCTGTCATGCTGCAGGTAAAGCCAGCTCGGAAGCTTTTGGTTTGGGAACAGCCACAAACAGCAGTATCAGAGTAAGGGCCTTTCTTTGCACAAAGACATAACCGAAGACAGGCGTCATCAGCGTGAACGTTGCTGGTAATATATATCAGCTGTGATCTCAGAGGTGTCTGGAGGTGGGAGAACAGTTTAATCTCTTTTCTTCCCAGTTTAGCCTCTTTGCAGAAGCAGCCAGTCAGGGAGCTATTTATTACTAATTCTGATTACAGATATCCTTCTGCTATGCACTGGGCTAACCCCACCAGTTAGAGATCAGCAAGAAGCCGCTGGGCTTTGTATCACCCGTGACATCTGGTTCACATGATGTTTTCTTGAAAGACTGTAAACACCTACTACTCGGACCCCTTTACTCAGTTACGTTTTTACTTTTCATTCATGCCTTCTTTTAAAGTAAAAAGTGTGTATCATACACTGCCTCACCTCATGCGGAAATACAAGCTCGTTACAGACAGACAGGGACTCGGACCCTGGACATTCACCTGCTGAAGCACATCATATATATGAGGTTTGCTTCGAAGTGCTGTTGAAGAAACCAAATAGCCTGTTTTGTTGGCCAAAGGGCTTTCCCCCACCGTTTCCCTGCTAGTGAGCGGTGCTAATCCGTGGCGTTTGAAAGGGAAAAAAGGTTTCAGAACGGTGACAAAGTGGGAGCTCAATTTATACATGCATTATTCCTCTCAATCTAATCTCCAAATACCTTCCGTAAAAAGCATGCGCCTGACATCTCTACAGCTGGCAAACCGTCGGGTCTGCGTTATGTGATTTAATGAATTATTCGCTTTAAAGTAAGCGCTCCCTCAAAGCATTCAAATTCTGTACAATCGTTTTCCTTAGCTGCAGTATTTATTTCAAAGTATGAATCCTACACAGGCTAGTTGTGTTCCCGAAAAGTTTCGCGTACATCGCTGTAATCACGGCTCTCGGGACCCCCCCAGTTTGTGCCGAAGGACTAGTGGCAGCCTCTCCCTCGCCTGCCCCAGGTACCGC